GTATTAAAATTAACCCCCCAAAAAGGCCACCCCTCTGAAAACACTACACTGTTAATTTCTGATCAGTTCCCTTACCTAGACCAATCGAAGTCTTCAACCTGCGTGACCTGATTTTCGATGAGTAAATCCAATATATCGCGTCCGTGAACTTCGATGGTCAGCAGCGATTCTACCATTTCGTGCTTGTGTTCAGGTATTGGTGACGTCACTAGCTGAGAAAGCTGTGTTAAAGTTGACACCATCTTATTACGCAGACTCACGAGAGAATCTTTGGCTCTTGAGCTTTGTAAACATTTCACAACTTCGCGAGAGAAGTTTATTTGAGACTGGAAAAGGGAAAGAAAATATATTGAGATTCATTTGGTAACTTAATTCTACATCCAAATGGTCTTCGTACCAGGGATTGTGGAGACAGGGGAAGGTTTAGAGGTTGTAGGCGCTACCGCCCATATGAGGGGAGAGGGGAAGGTAGGAGGAACTAAAGCCCCAGCACTGTTCTCAGTAATTTGAATACTCGAACTTGGACCTGCAAGACATAACTGGGACTAAACCAATTAAATCCATCTGTATTTCTCAACAATTGAGATACATTTCACACATCTGCAGGATMGACAATGCAGACATCAGAAAGCAGTTGTTATTTGATGAGCGGTCCACCAAGTGGACAAGGCTAGAAAGATTGTTTGSCATGCCGAATGCGCGGCAGATTAGGCGCCAGATGATGGACAGKGAGAACTTTAAGCGTTCTATGAAAGCACCCCTAGGAAACAATTCTCTGTAAAGGAGAATACGATGACGATGATAATGAATTTTTCCTTATGACTACCTAACTCATYTCGTTAACTGGATAACCGAATAAGGTTAAAGAGCTATCCAACGCAATGGTGCAAACCTTACCGCTGTCAATATGGTCTGTCCAGGATGTTTTAGTACCCACTGAGTGTATTCCATGGTATCAAGACTGGTGACAGCATTCTTGATATGCCTAAATAATAACCATATAACGTCAGTATATTATATCTAGCAGCAAGACTGAGCTCGGCACGCTGCTTGGGATTAAAGAATCATAACCAACCGTCGTACCTTGCGAGCAGAAGCGTCATTTTAGGTGGACACGAAAATGGCGGATTCGTAGGATTTCTTAAAGTGAGCGCGAATCGTCTTCCGTCCTTTCAGTTTGGACAGAAATACCTTTAACTAAGTACCTCACAGGTTCTATCAATCTATAATTTATTGCATGTTTGACGCATTTAAAAGTATGTAAACAATAATACGAGCGCGCAATGTACGGCGGTTGGTTATGATTCTTTAATACTCTAAATATCGTACAACTAATTAAAATTGACTCACAAAAATCACAAAAAAAGAAGCTGAGATCGGAAAGACACTTCGGGATAACTGTTCTTTGATTCATTCACATTCACATGTAACGTTTCGCGGTCGCGTCTTTCTGACAACTTACATTTTAATAGTCTCGTACATAGAATGCTCTACATTAAGTACCCATGATTCAACATTCCCTCGTGCACGAAGAGTTCTAAACAAAATCAATGTTAGTTAGTTCTACATATAATTTCTTTATGTTGAAAATAACGTAGAGGAAACTGGCAGTAGATAGCACAACATGGAAGAGCTCTCCCTTAAAAAAGGTTAGCGCATCAAAATCCTTTATTCGTTATTTTCTCTCTGTAAGTTGCGAACCTTAGCCAATCAGAATAAAGAGTCTGAGCATGCGTAGACACATTTCTTACTTGGGTAAATTGACGCATTCTCCTTCCCCTGACATCATATATTTGATCTGTGGTGGCGAGTGAGCTTGTCGAACGATTTCCAGGAAATGYATGTTTTGGAAACATTTACGTAAGTGTGGCTGCAAGCACAAGAACACGTGAGTAAACGGTTCTCCTAAGGACTTACTTAGCCAACGTGTTTAAACCAGACAGATGAATAATATACGCCTAATTCAAAAAACGTTGTCGGGGAGAACGGCACTGCGATTGTCGAAGGGAGATTGCATGACCGAAACTATAGCAACGCTGTTTTGACAAACAAAATTTCGATTATTCGATTCACCTTGCATAGAAATGAAGACTAAATGGAGCCAATGTTTTTCTTACAGTCTAAATCTGTTGTCATTTCCCATCAATTAGCAAAACCCATGTTTCGGTCGTGCAATCTACGTTCGACAATTGGCACTCGGTAAGTATATAAAAAACCTCTCATGTGTCAGAAAAACTTTGTTATCATCAAACCTGTATAGCATTTGGGTTTTTGTTGTTTGCAAGAATGTCCAGCAAATCTTCATTACTGAGGAAGTAAAATCGTGCAAACACCAGGCGTTTGGTTTCGAGGTAGTCCTATGAAGTAGTGTCGTAAAATTAGTACTATTCTATATTAGTACAATTCTATCGTTTTTTCTTTGTGAATATTTCTTTAATTTTTTCTAGGTTTCACCACTATTATTGTAGGATGAATACGAATTACTTTTCTTACTTCAAGGCATTTATGAATCTTGGCAAGYTGTGAGTTGCTTGACTGTAGAACTTCAAGAACACCTAAAGAATTTAAATGTGAGCTATCGCAAATGAGGAAATACAAAAATTCATAACTGTAAAAGATGATTACAAGGCACATTAACGCGGTATTGCACGCGCTGTGAATATTTTTCTAAAACGTTTGTCGATCGCCCGGTGGCGAGATTTTTAGGCAGTGTTGTATCGTGAACCTTTTATCCGAAACGTGTTCGTGATCGCATTGAATTGTTGGTAATTCAATATCCTTTGCTTTGATTGGGRAATTTTGTCCTTTCAATTCTCAGAAAGGTTGGAAAAGGAGTGTAACAGCTTCTGGCTTTATGGTGGACGAGTTCTTACTCACCAGCAGCAATGGAAGCTTTGAATGCATTCGGTTTATCAATAGTTCTCCTCATTATATCCCTCCATGATTTGTCAACTTGAGAAAACAGACGGGCTTCATTTGGTAGTTGCCTAAGACAAAGTATACCTCTGTTAGTAACAAGCCCGAAATATATCAAAAAACTGATGTAGCATTTCTTGCTATTTGCTCCTTTGGGGAAAATTTCTGCGTATTGTTTGAATTTAATTAAATTCAAAACGTTCTTATAAGATCGTATTGAAATCCCAATTTTTAACTGAAAAGGTGGCCTGAGGTTTTTCACATTTGGGCTTGACGATGCCTGAGGTTTTTCACATTTGGGCGTGACGATTTTTGAAAGGCGTTAATCGCCGTTTAAGACATAAGATAAGATTTCATGACAATCTAAAGTTATCATTCACCTGAGGAAGAGCGATGCTTTTGATCTAACGTTTCTGCTTGCTCATTAAGGCTGATTTACACGGTACGATTTGTCGCGCGCGACTTTTCCTACTACAAGTCGTAGGATTTTAAGCCGTGGTTCAAAAAACTACTACAAGTCGTAGGTTGCGTAGGACTGTTGTAGACAAGTCGTAGGGGCATTAACACTGTGCGATTCAAGTCGTATACTACAAATCGTACGAGACAATCGTGCCGTGTAAATCAGCCTTTAACCGATTCATTATTTCATCTAGTCAAATATATATTATGAACCAAAACTATTTCTTCCCATACCTTTGTATATCAGCTGCTGCAAAGATAGATTCCAAGTAAAGCCAGTTACGTTGGCAAATGAGCCATTCATCCAACGTGCGGGAAAATAAAGCAAGTTTCCTGTCCCAATCTTCCACCAACGACTGCGTAAAAGATGGTAAACGGTCAAATAAAGCAAATCACATTGCGCATTTAAATGCATCGACATTAAAATATCTTCCCAACCCTTCTCCGCCCTTGTATTGTATTTACATTGATGGGTAAACTAAGAACCACTAAGAACGGACCAGATCTTGCCCGCGATCACTCATAGCTGGCTTACTCTCTCGATCTCTGCCTTCTGGTTGGCTCTGTTGTTTCGGGTGAGCCGGTTCTTAAACTCGGCCTTAGATCGGCGGGATTGCTCAAAATGGATAAAAGCGACCACACCCGTCAAACGTGACTCTCAGGATTGTAAAGCACTAGTTTAGTGGTCCATAATMAGTCGATTATGTTAAGTAATTTTGATCAAACAAAAAAAAAATAGAAGAACAACTAAAATCATATCATTTCTAATTATATGAAATTTTTCCCTTTTTTTTTTCTTTCAGTAGCAGAATACTCTAAGCACACACCTTAATGGGAGCGACATATTTTGAATTCCTTATGTTACTCAAAGTGACTTGACTCTCCTCCAACGAGGCAATGATATCATCAGCCTGTGAGATGACGGCGATGTCACGTGTTGGGTGCGCAACCAGTTTAAATTCAGTAACGTTCCAAAATTCCATGATTTTCTGTAGCATCTGCTCCAACGTGGCTTCATTAGTGGCCTGGGACGAGATTTCTGTGATTTTTTCTTTGTGTTTGAAGACCTTGAATAAAAGTTACACTACATTAGTCGAAACAGACAAAGTAAAGGTAAAATACCTCTGGTTTGATAGGAAAAACATTCAGCAGTGTAAAATGAATACACCAAAATATTTTATTGGTTTACAACAAGCTAGACGCTGGAAGCTGCAACTGTATAATCAGTTAAATAAACAAATATAAATAAATAAATTGGTAATAAGAAATCGCCCTTCCTTGCAGCCCGAGTGCTGAATTACGAAGGACGCAGCTCACGTGATCGAGACGGTTATGCGGTATACGAGGGCGCTATCATTATGATGAAAATCACATAGTTACAACACACACACAAAGCAGCCAACCAACCGACCCATATCTGATCACGGAGCACAGCTAGGATCGAAATGTTCCATTTTTGCTGAGGGAGGAAAAACCGGAGAAATCGGAGAAAAAACCCTCGAAGCAAGGGAGAGGACGGAAYTAAACTCAGGCCACATATGACCCCAAGTCAGAATCGAACCAGAGACCACAGCGGTGACAGGCCGGCGCTCTCACCGCTCGGCCACCCTTGCTTCCCATAAGGCCTTTATTTTCTAATAATATTACTGTAATATTGTTATTTGCAAGGCTGCACCCCCCAAACTGCCTTCAAATGAACACCGAGATCAATTCTTACTATAAAAGAGTGATTCACACAGTTGCAGTATTCACACTGAGTTGACAATCGCTATCATGATGATGATGATAATGATGATCACTTTAAAAGACCTTGTCAACATGATGTAATGTTCCTCTAAGTGGAGGCTGACTCTTTTCATTGATAATACGAAAACAAAAGAGATAGACCTACAACCTAGAGGAACCGAACAGATGGAGAATGTTGATTTCATTTTTTTTTTAGGATGGGAATGTTGATTTCGATACTCTGAGAACAATTTTTTTTTTTCATAGAGTATGACGACGGCAAATGTTTGCGACAAAAATAATTGAAATACCTCAAGACGAAGTAAATGTCCTAGCGTAAAGTGACGATCTCTCACAAAACGGGTACCGATCTGTTCTTGGATGGCTTCCCAATGCCGTGCTCTTAAAGCGGGATTTCGAAGGCTTGTAATCACAGGCATGCCAATCTTAAAGGTTGTGACTTTCTCCTTGAGACGAGGCACCACTTTATTTGGAGGTAGACCTGGATATATCAAACTTGAACAATAAATTTCGATACAATAAGAAAAGGATTTGGATATAGATAGACTCCCTCGCAGCCTCCCCTTTTGTCGGGCTTCCTGCTGCGAAGGAGACTAGGATATAGAGAGAGTCTTTAAAAAAGATAACGCAACTTGTTTTGTACAATTCTTATACGCAAGTATCCGGTAAAAGTATGTTTGGAGTTCAAAAAGATATACATTCATAATAAGTTACTGTGACGCGCGCCGTTTTTCAAAATCAATACCACCTTTTCGCTAGCGGTCAATTTCAAACATGGACACACTGACATCAACCATTGGTATGTTCCAAAGAAGGATTTATTGAACGCTGAAACAAAGAGTTCTTTTCCTTTTAAGGTTGGAGGATTAATACATAACTGTCTTAGTTGCAAAATACCATTTAGTTGGTCKATCTGTTAATTGTTGAAATTGTTGAAAACAAATGAAGTTCTCACCTTTTTCTAGCATAAAAATAATCTCAATGAATCGAGTAACGTCATTTTGCATGGATTCCGTCGACAAAGCTTCAAAAACTGTTGCCTTCCATTTGTCCACTAGAATCTCCCACTCCTGYAGAGACTGCCAAAGMAGCTTCCTTAGCGACAAATCTTTCTCYACCTCGCTGACTTCTGACTGCAGTGAAAACGAGCCGCTTGATGTCGAAACAGCTACGGATTTCCCTCTACGTTATAGAAAGAACACTTAATATTGCATCAATCAAATAAGAAAAATGTTAAATTACTCAAAACTTTTTAGAATTGTTTGGTGACCGTATCGACATTTTTTTAGGCTGGTCACCTT